ACGAAAGCCAATTTCTTGTACTTTAAAAAATGATTGGAGGCCAAACTTGGACGAGGCCCCGTGACACAAATATTTTATCAGAATCTGTTTTTTTTGGTAACAACCAAATAATATTTTATAAGGTTGAGGTTCAAGATGACGAAGATCTTCAGAATATGTTTTCCAGTCATGAGTATTCTGGGTACGACTCTATTGAGTTATACATTATGCTGCGAGAGCCTCAACTGTCACAAGTGGTTGATCCTTTGGAGACCGAACAAGCAGAAGTAGATGCAGTTGATGAAGAAGAAGAAGATGACGAGTTGGAGTTTGACGAAATGGTCAATGATGATTCTGAAGACGATGGGGTACCTGGTATTCCTGCAAACGAGATCTACACCCCACCTCCACACATGACAAACTTCAAGATGGGCAGAGATGAACCGTCTTATGATTTATTTTTCAATCCCTATATGCATTCGGATGAAAACTTAAAAGAGAAAGACAAATTTCATAATAGAGAAGAATGTATCAGAGCCACCAAAAAATTCCACATGCTCAACTCGGTCGATTTTAAGGTGGACCGTGTAAATCCAGAAAGGTACAAGATCAAGTGTGTCCACCCTGATTGTATGTTCAAGCTCACTGCATCATACAGATTAAGAGGTGATTATTGGGTCATAGGTTCCATGTCTACGCACACTTGTGTCAGTTCTACTCAATCACAGGATCATCAAAAACTTAATTATGATCTCATTTGTCAAGAAATCCTACCACTCGTCAGCAACAATCCATCTTTGAAGGTGAAAACCATAATCTCCCACATCACTGCGGTTTTTAACTATACTCTGTCTTACCGAAAGGCGTGGTTAGCAAAGACCAAGGCGATTGAAAAGGTATATGGAAACTGGGAGGAGTCATACCAAGAACTTCTTCGCTACCTGAATGCACTCTAGACTTATTCTTCGGGTACTGTTTACATTCTAGAAACAGTGCCAGCATACGCCCCAGATGATACTCAACTCAACAGAAATGGAATATTCAGTCAAGTGTTTTGGGCTTTTCAACCTTGCATCACAGGGTTTGCGTCATGCAAACCAATTATACAAATTGATGGGACTTGGTTGTATGGGAAATACAAAGGTACGCTACTGATGGCAGTTGCACAAGATAGCAACAACAACATTTTCCCAATTGCCTTTGCCCTAGTCGAGGGGGAGACTGGTGGTGCTTGGAGCTTTTTTCTGAAAAATCTGCGAACACACGTGGCTCCTCAACCAGATCTCTGTTTGATCTCGGATAGACATGCATCCATTGAAAGTGCATACAATAATCCTGCAAACGATTGGCATGACCCTCCTTCTACGCATGTCTATTGCGTTAGGCATATCGTCCAAAATTTCACGAGGGAGATCAAAGACAAAACACTCAGGAAAGCAGTTATAAATGCAGGATATGCATTGATACAACCTACGTTCAAATATTATCGCAACGAGATCCATTTGTCAAATCCGGAAGCCGGTAGGTGGATCGACAATATTCCGGTAGAAAAATGGACTAGGTCATACGACAATGGCCAAAGATGGGGCCACATGACAACAAATCTAATTGAATCGATAAATGGGGTATTAAAAGGCATACGAAACCTCCTGGTCACTGCTTTGGTAAAATCAACATATTTTAGGATGACTTCGTTGTTTGCCAAAAGAGGTGAAATGTGGAATGCGGTGTTGCAATCTAGACAACTATGGAGTGAAAGCTGCATGAAGTACATTAAGGCAGAAAGTGCCAAAGCCGACACCCATATGGTTATACGGTTTGACCGACACAGCCACAACTTCATTGTGAAAGAGACAATCGACCACAACGAGGGCCTGCCAAGACAAGAATATAGGGTTGTACTACCTTCTCGTTGGTGCGATTGTAGCAAGTTTCAAGCCTTTCGTATGCCTTGCTCTCATGTCATTTCTGCTTATGTCTATACTCATCAAGACGCGCTACAACTTCTGTCACACATTTACAAATCTGAAACGTTGCTCAACGTTTACAACAACAACTTCTCTTTGGTAGCAAAACCAGATTATTGGCCTGCATACGACAATGAAATAGTATGACACAATGACCAAATGCGAAAGAATAAAAAGGGTTGTCCCAAAAGTAAGCGCATCACAACTGAAATGGACTCCCTTGACAAGCTAGAAAGAAAGTGTGGTTTATGTCGTCAGGTCGGACACAATCGCAAAAATTGTCTGAATCGAGCTACTGCCTCAACCACATAAAAATTCTATTACATAAAATCTTTCCTTTATTATGTTGTAAACATTAGGGTTTTTCGTTAACAATATTTGTTACAATAAACATTGCGCGAACAAGAAAAAAACACGATATTCCGTCTATGAAATTACAACTGTTAAAACAATATCATCTGACCCATACATCATCAACATTACGTCGCTGTTTGTTTTGACTTCCTCCAACCAAACATTAGGTCTTCCTGTCGCATGTGAGGTTGTTGTTCGTCTTCGCTGGATCCTTCTAATTTTCCCCCCTCCACGATGTCTCCATCTAGTCATCGCATCAACTCCCGCTTCAGACGCTCCATGGAGTGAATGTGCCAGAATTTCATTTTTATCAGAGGTTTTGTGGCGGAGAAGATAACGTAATCATCTCTGGTAAAAATCATGGGCGATGTCATGACGCAAATCACAGAGTAAAAAATAATAAAACAGTGCGAGAAAGTGTGAGAAATGACGGAGAAACAAATGAATTATTTATAAAAACAACATTTTTCCCTAGGAGTCAAGTGAAATGACGCCTCCTCTCACTTTTAAAGTGTAGGCGCCATCTCACTTGGCTAAAACAGAGAGGAGGCGCCAAGTGGGATGGCGCCAAGTGAGATGACTCCTCCTTTAGAGAGTCATCTGAAACATGATTATTTGCGTAATTTTTTTCCGAAACATGATTATTTACGATTTTTTTTAATACTTGATTATTCCAAAAAAAAATTCCTAAGAGTTGTCTTAGTGAAACCAATTTTGTTAATATTTGATTATCATACCAAACAATTCAAACAACATATATAGTTTTAGAAAATATTACGGGTGATTATTATAAAAGAAAAAGAGTATATATTTTGTGGTCTTATTTGTAAAATAGTAAAATGATTGAAGTTCTTTTTATAATAAAAGAAAGTATATATTTTAAAGTCTATTCTCTATTATATTTTAATTCGATATTGAGAATAGGAAAATAAGGTTTTCATATCTATTAAATTTATTTTTTAACATGTGAAAAATTTGTAAATTATGTTTTTCAGTATTTTAGTAAAATTTTAAATAAATCTACTCACTTAATTATTATATATGTCTTTTGTCAAATAAAATATTTTATTTTTATTAAATTGTATAATTTTTTTCATGAAAAAATAAAATTGACTAGAAAAATACTATTTTTTTATGATAAAATATTAATATTTATATTAAAAAATAAAAATATTTATTTTATAAAATAAAATATGAGACAATTATGATCGGTGAATACACAAATTTCTTATGAAAAATATAAATTTATTATTTTTATCTCTCTCTCTCTCTCTCTCTATATATATATATATATATATATATATATATATATATATATATATATATATATATATATATATATATATATATATATTTGTGTGAAGTGTACTAAAACATAATTTTTAAATATATATAACAATTATTACAAATTGATAAATTAAATTAATATTTTTTTCTCTTAATTTATATATATTTTTTAAATTCTATATCATATTTATTTAATATTTATATCGACTTTGCGTGATCTGTACGAACGCATAAATCCTTTTTTATTAAGAAAAAGATATCAAACTCAAAAAAAATTATATTTAAATAATTCGGTAATCATCTGAAGTAATAAACACATAAAGTAACTAATGACCTTAAAAGATAATAAAACTTAATAATGTTTCACAAGTTTGCATGCATTAAAAAGTAATAGTAACAAGAAAAAAGTTTGAATCAAGTTTTACAAGAGTGTTGGACAATAATCTATTGCATAATTTTATCTAAAGTGCGATGTTATGTCATATATGGCCAGAGCTAAATCTTGTGAAACAATGTCATGCAACAATTTATTAAGATTAGCTTATGTCTATGTCATTATTAACACCGTTACACTTAAAGTAACATCATTTTTTTTAATGCAATCGTTTGATGCAAAAAGAATTACAATTAAGAGCTAATCAGTCTATATATTGACCAACTTTTAAATTCAACAACAACTATAAATGCAACATTGATTTTTTTTTTTTACAATAGCTCATATTAATATTTTAGTTGGCCATTAGATTAGAAAAGAAGAAAGTAGTTGCTTCCTAGGAAAATACCTCATGCTGGTCTACTTTGTGTTGAAGTTTCCTTCATCCAATAATAATAGAACTCACCTTTTGACCCAGCCTGCCGAATCATACAAAATTCCTAAATAAATAAAACATGCCATTGTACATATAACAGTCAAACAAGGTTGCCACTCCCTTTACCACCTTTTTACTTTTTCTTCATATTTCATAAACCACTCATAGTATAAATTATATGCACCAGCTATATAAGATATAGTTAACCTAACAATTAAGAAAATATTTTCAATACTCGTTTGAAAAAAAAAAACATATAAAACTAGAGGAACAAACCGTTCAATCTCCTTTCTCTTTAAATATCATGATACCATGTATTTATATGGATACACACAGAATAAAAGTAATATAAAAATTTGCATAGTGTACATAGAATTAGTCAAATTTGAATAGTTACAACACATAGTATAAAACTTTCATTTTCTTTGAAATTTCAACGTCCTTTCCGGCCACTAGTAGTAACATAAAATAATAATTGGCATCACGACTCACTTAAATTAAGAACAAAGTATTCCACCTATATAAATATGTAGGTGAAGTAATGATCCATTTCATCTTTAACCAGCTATATCAAAGATAAACTTAACACACAAAAATTAGAGTAATGGATGCTTCATCTTTAACCAGGTCAAGTCTAAGCATTTCAAATTCAAAGCCCTTTTTTCATTACGTTCCACAACAGAGACCTTGTCACGTGCACTTTGCAGTTTCATGCAGAGTAAAGCATATGGAGGAAACAAGGAATGGATCAAATTTCTACAAAATGTTATCTGTGAATCCGAAAAACGCGACAACGGAAGAGATAAAGAGAGCTTATAGATCAATGGCACTTCAATATCATCCCGATGTGTGTCATGATCCTTCGATGAAAGAGGAATCAACTAGGATGTTTGTTCGGTTAAATGTGGCTTATGAAACTTTGTCGAATCCTATGCTTCGTGAACAATATGATAGTGAGTTGGGTTTGAGAAGTAGTATGATGAATAATGATGTTGTTGGTGAAGGGATTTGGAGAAGTAGGTGGCAAGAACAAGTGGTTGAGTTGAAGAAAAGGTCTAGTAGACGTATGGAACAAAAAGGAAGGTCTTGGAGTAGCAGAATGAGGACTCAAAACATGAAAGATAGGAACTAATTTAATTGCAAAATAGTTTTCATGTGTGATAGATTTAACTATGATTCTTTTTATTGGATATATTTAATCTCTAAATAACAATAATGATTTTTATTGGATATTAATGATCTAGTCAAGACCTTTATCGTTCGGGAATGAATTAGTAGTGGATATGGAGATGATTGTGAATTCTGATTCGTTGTAAATTCAAACTTTTGACGCATATTTTTTTAACGTTAATTTATTTTAAAAATACATTTTCTTAATGTGGTCGGAGATGTATTTTATACGAATAGTAATATAAATTAATTTGTGATTGATTCTTATATCAAATATTTAGAAGGTATTCTAAGATTCTATTATAATAAGGATATGAAATTAAACAACATATATAATGTTATTAGTCAAGATTACACAAATCCAATTTAAAAATTATATCGAAGTCGATTATCTAATACAACCCAAAATTTATGATGAAATATGAGCCTGCCTCACCCTCGTCCCTTGTTCCTACGCTTACTCTTGTAGTGCAGAGCCTCCCGAGCCTCCGCCATCATGGCATCTATAATTAGGGGTGTGCAAAAAAACTGGTTTACACGAATCAATTTTAAAAATTCAGTGCACCAATTTTTATAATCCAATTTGTGTTGGATGTGCTCCAGATCCATTTTGATATCAAAACAAAAATCTGGTTTCCATTTTTGATAACCAGTTGTCATACATAAAACCAAATGTAATGATATTATTATTAATGAATAAGATATTATTAAGGCACAATAAATTCAAATTCGTGTAAACCAATTTATATAATATTCAAATTGAAAATGGAAAACTAGTTTATATATTTTATTTTATTTATTATTAATTAGTTAATTAGAGTGGTGATTAGTTAAGGGAAGATGAACTTATTAAATTAATTGTGATGAACTATTGTTAATCTGTATTTTTTTGTTTAACTGTTATAGTGTAGCAATTGTTTTGAAACAGATTTTGTCTTGGTTTTAGGATGTTTTGTTTTAGTTTTTTTGGGTTCTAGTTTTAGTGTTCTGGTGCAACTTTATCATAGATTAAAGTGTAATGTTTTTACTCTTAAATTGAATTTTACTTTTTTGCTTTTCAAAAAAATTATGAAAAACGATTTGTGCTGGTGTTTGAATATAATAGTATAAAAATGACACATGTCTTTGCATCTTGTTCCCTTCATTAACCTGAATTTTTTTCGTCTCTTCAAATTAAGAAAGATACAATTTCCTTATAAATCAATTTTGATTGAAAACCGATTTAAACCGGTTTTGAACCGAATTGAAACCATTTTGCAATTTTAAATTGGTTATTATAAAAAAAATGGTTTAATTTTAAAACTAGAACCATTAAAATGGATTGGTTCTTAAAATTTGGTAACCATGCACACCCCTATCTACAACAACCATCACTTCAGAGTTATCCAGAAAGAGTCCTTCATGAATATCCGCCTGCCTAGTATGCATGATACGACGACACCTAGGTAAGAAATTATGAGCATGATCGGCCCTAACATGCTCTTCCTCTAGTATCTCCTGATGAGTTGGCCTAAGTGGATCCCCTAGAGAATCTTGTACCATATAAAGATGTGAGGCCCGGAAGAACCATTGAATATAACCGTCTATGTAGCTCCAGTGGTTCTCAGCTATGGTACTTTGTTCCTCGTCTGATACCATATGATTAAGATAATCCTCAAACTTAGCATACATGTCTCCGCGTTTCACAATGGGAGGAGTGAACACACAAGGATCCTTGGGAATGTAGTACATGTAGCCAAACTGACACGCGACGCGCTCAGGCTGCAAGACAACCATCCAGAGTATAAGAAAATATCATCAAAGGGAATCATCTCACGGTGATCGGAATAACAATGAAAGTGTATATCTTTAAATACCAAGCAATCAATATACACCCTGGACGACTTTGTCGACTGGTTCCCCATAAGCCGGGAGAATGCAGAAGCACATGATATATCCTTAGTATAAGTCGGGTCAAGTGAGCAACCGAAGATGCGTGGAAAGTGCTGCAGGATCCAAGCCTGAAAGACAAGAATCATTAGTTAGTAATGGTGTTGCAGTAATTAACAAAATGACACACAAGCAATAGAAGACCAATAAATATTACCGTCAAAAGTGTGATACTACCTGTCACTTACTTCGTCTTCAACATACAACCTTCAGATAACTTAGAGTACAAGTAAGCCATACAAGTGACCCCCCCTCCCAGTTATATCACATATCTCCTCAAAGTCCTCAAAGTACCTTGGTTACATTACATCCACATAAGTTTAATTGTTGTCCACAAAAATGGTAGTGCCAACAAGATACAACATGTATGCTCTTATAACACACCTTCTATGCAGTCATATGTGTTCGTTATCACCAATAGCTTGCCAAGATCTCGCTATCTCATCACTAAACACTTTCTGCAAATAGCTAGACCTAGCATGAGCCCCATGGGTGAAGTCATGCTCCTCAATAACACTCTCTGGTTTAACTCATAGAAATTCTACCATAAACGTTTGGGCCTTTTCTTTATTACACCTCCCATGATCTAAAAATCTCCTCTTAAGCAGAAGATGCAACAGACATGTGACATCGTCTAATGTGATAGACATCTCACCAAGTGGTAGTCGAAATAAAGACGTCTCTGCATGCCATCTCTCTACAAAATAATTAATCATACCATGGTTAACTATAGTATAAATAGTCTTGCTTAAATCTTGCAATCCTAATAGCTGTAAAACCTCCTAAAACCACAGTTTATTGGGCTTTTCCAGGGAAGTGATCTTTTGCATATGGTTGATGATTTTTAGTGAATCACGTTCTTGCATACATGGTTTTAACAAAAAAAAGTTAATAATAAAACAAACACAAGTTTAAACGAATAATTTCAACTAAATTTTACCTCTTCGTCCCAGACATGTTTGACAACATTGTCCGGGTAAAGAGGCAACAATGATAAGTCTGATGGGCCTCATCTAAAACCCCGAGGTGCCATAACTTCCACCTCATTCTCCTAGTCTTGGGATGCCTCATGTGTTTCCTGGGACTAAGATACACCAGGTGCCTCCTGGGACTCAGATGCCTCAGTTGCGTGGGCTTGTGATACCTCTCCTACCTCAGGTACCTAAATAGAAGAACTCATGTGTCTACGTGAAGATGGATGCGAGGAGGCATGAGAAGAGGACACTCATCCACTACAAGAGGACAAATAAGAAGGCGGAGAAACATGAGCCCTTAAACCTGATACCGCATCTGCATCAACCTATCTAGAGGTAGGATGAGCCTAGGATTGTTGACTTTTTCCCCTATGAACGAATGCATGTTGTGCAATCCTGTCATGTCTCAATCTGAATGGTCTTTCAACCATAATACTTGTAAATAGATAAGACAAGCATTACAGAAATATTTTGTTACAAAAAGAACAAAACATTACAAACAAGCTACTTACAGAGATGCATCTCCGATTTTTGGGTAAACATTGAAAATTTTAGGAGATGCATCTCTGGAAATTTCTGCAACTCCAAGCAATGTTGTTACAATTAGTTTTAAATACAGAGTCGCCACTACTAGTTTTTATCTTGATGAAGAGAATCTAATAGAAAACCCTAATTTTGTAAATAGAGATTCTAGGTTTCATACTTATTTAGATGAAAGGAAGGTGTTAGGCACCTTTCATCTACCTTATTCGTAAGGATACTAGGTTTAGGTTTAACAGTTAGGTAAAAAGGGTTTTAATTTTTATAGGGGAACTCACCATGATTTTAATCGTATGCCTACGTATCCTCTTAAGAAGAATCATAGTCCCAATTTATAGTTCGTATGGGTTTGTGTTTTTTATCGATTTCAAAGATATTTTGAATTTTCTCGCATTTAGACCGGGTGTAGAGATAGCGGAATTTTGGACTAAATGCGCGATTAGTCAAAATAAATTTAGAACCCTTTTGCAAAAGTTGTTTATTAGATTAATTTATTGCGAAAAGAAAAGATTTAATATTTTTTAAGTATTTTTTAATTATATTAATTATAAAAACTCTAATTAATGCATGATTAAAATTTTTAATGTAATATAATAATAAAAATATATACATGAACTTTTCAAAGAAAATAATATTAAGTTAATAATATAAATAATAAATGAAAATAAAATTTAAATATTAAAAATGATAATAATTGTAATTTATAATAAAAAGAAAGAAAGGAAAAATAAGAAAATATAATAATAATAATAAAAATTAGAAAACTAAAGTAATTTTACAGGGGGGTGTAATCTGAACTAAGAAGTAAAAGGTTGGGCTGCACATAGTGAGGGCCTGAATTCAGATATTGAATTCAGACCCAGTTGATCTGAGGGGTGCGCTAGCAGCTAAAAAGTAAAAATCGGGGGGTTCATTAAGGAAATCGGGCCCAAGTTCAGATATTGAACTAGGCCTAGTGGTGGGGCGTGCATTTCTTCAAGGCCATCTAGTAAAACAACAAAGGGGAGGAGTGGATAGAACTGGGCTAGTCCCATTACGCATTTTGAAAGGGACCTAAATAACAGCGTGTGTGAGGGTACACGGGATCATGGTGGGACTTGGCCTTACGACCGTCTGATACAGAATGTATAGACAAATTTGAGGGAGAATGTTATTATAGTAAGCGCGCGTACACTAGATTATAACAAAAACATAAGTTTGTTTTTATTTTATCAGAAAATAACATTTCATGTTCATTCACTCACTACCCTTTCCCTTCTCTCGTTCTCTCTCTCATTCAACCCTTATCCCTTTCCCTTCTAACCCTAACCGAACATCACTCTGGCGACGCTCAAACCCTAACCTTCCATTAACATCAAACCTTAACCATCCCCAAATAATAACAGAAAATGCAAAAATCAAAAGCTAAGTTCCATTACCTCAGATCGCGGTTGTTCTGCTACGTTGCTTTTCTGTTTCTGATCCCATTTCTTCCTTTTGATTTGCAGGTAATGGTGGCTTTCAAGGGTGGAATAACGGC